TTGGTGCGTAGAATCCAAAACAATTCGTACTTTTTCGATCAGACTTCTCAATCAAAAGTTATAGACTAAACCAATTTCGAAAGAAAATTCAAAGGGCTGTAACTTTTGAACTAGTAGCCCAATCTTGGAACTGTTTGAAATTATGGATTCTACAGGCCACATTCTATAAGAAAAATTTTTTCCGGGTCGATCTGAGACAATTTTTTTTTCGGGCCTCAAAAAAAGGCAGTGTATAAACCTTCCTTTTTTACCAAAAATCGACTGCACCAAAATTTCTCGGGAAAACACTTTTTCTTATTAATTTTGGTGCGTAGAATCCAAAGCAATTCGTACTTTTTCGATCAGACTTCTCAATCAAAAGTTATAGACTAGAAACCAATTTCGAATGAAAATTCAAAGGGCTGTAACTTTTGAACTACTAGCCCAATCTTGGATTCTACAGGCCACTTTCTATAAGAAAATGTTTTTTCCCGGTCGATCTCAAACAATTTTTTCCCGGCCTCAAAAAAACGCAGTAGATACTTTTAAGTTATTTAAGTATTTGAGAACAATTTAGAAATCTTTAGGGAAAGTTTCCATTGTCACAAAATCAAATATAAAAATCCCATACAACTGAATTCCGAACGATCCTGGAGTGAAACTTTTTGACCCGATAGTCTACGTAACTTAAAAACAATAGGGACCTTTCATATATCCTTAAGACCATGTGTACCAATTTTCAAAGCGATCGCACGTTTCTAAACAAACTATCATGCACACGGACAAACGGATGATCAAAAATGTATCTGTTCCAAAATCGCTAGGATTAATTTCAGAAATGTGTACGTGTCATGTGCACGACATACGATCGCTTTGAAAACTGGTAAACGTATTCTTAAGGATATAACTGGTATAAGAAAGGTCCTGGTAGGTACCTCCTATATAATAATAATATTACGCTTTTACTCCCCTTAAATTTGTATATAACAATAGAAATATGAAAAAAGCTAACCCCATACAAAGTATAACTTGATTTTTTAAGTAGTATTAAGACTTTTATCTAGTATACTATTTTAAATTTTTAATGTATTTGAGTGACAAGTATTCGAATACTTTTCAAAGTAAGTTAATGAAATACTTTTCAAAGTATTGGAATACTTTTTATAGTATTCGAATACCTTTGATAGTATTAGAATACTTTTGAAAGTATTCAAATACTTTTTGAAAGTATTCCGCCCAGCTCTGCTTGTAGTAAAGCTTTGTGCTACTTTTACTACCGTCAAATAACTGTAACTGAATTGTATAATTTCAATGGAAATCCCTATGCCGGTAAAACTACGAATGTCTGAGAGTTTTAGAGGATTTCTTTCCAACAGCTTTATAATCACGAGTTAGAGGTTGCACGTAAACAAATTGGTATCAATTGTTGTTTTATCTAAACCCATTAACTTTTAACACTCATGCATTTTGTACAAAAAAATACCTGACAAATAATCTCTAAAGATAAAGAAATTCTACACAAAGAAACACTTGCAAATTTTGTAAACTTAAATCCACTTTAAAAAAAAGAAATAATTTCGCATATTTATCTAAACAATTTCAACTACTTTCATTATTCACACGTCCATTCACAACTATAACCTCTACTCACTTTCCACATACCTTCATTTTAAAGGTATTCCGCATATTCCATATCTTGAATATGGCATATTAGAAGAGTGGGATATCCAACTGGGTATGTGCTATTTCAACAAAGGATGACTTCGTGGAATGGAATAAGGAAAAATGAAAGGAAAACTACAGTTAGGTTAAAAAGCCCTTTTCACATACTGCATTAACACGGATGTTAACTGTTCAGACATTTACACAACACTAATTAGATTGTAAGACTATCCACGCAACGTTAATCCTTAAACTACGTTTCGCGGATTAGATACTTCTGCGTGAAAAGGAGAGCGATACCATGGACGTTGCAAACATTACATTAGATTCAAAGGCATGGGATTAAAAAAAAAGCTCATGAGATTAAATTTAGAGAATCAGTTCTGTGCTTTAGCGGAGCAATTCATAACTTTTGTCAATATCCCATTTACGGAGTAATTTCATTAAATAAGCAAGTAACTTTGATTTGAGCGTAAGTATTAACAAGTGCGCATTATGAAAACTTTCAGTGGAATTCAAAAGTTAGCTAACTTCAACAATTCCATTCTTAGAATTTATTACCTGCCATTCAAAGCATTTACAATCGGATGTCGCCTTCTAAATCTAATTACCCACCACTATAATATCAAGGATTATTTAGACATCCTACATCTGCTAAGCACAAGATTAAAATTGACGAGAATTATCATAATGTATCCCTGTGCTGAGCTAGAAGTAGTCAGGCAATAATGTAAACCGTCAACGTCAGTATAACCACAGACAACATATACTATGTTCCATTTCCCACTGCGTCTTCGAATAAATTGAACACTTATATTCACTAAGGCAAAAAATACGATAACACGTGCGTATCTTGAAACTAATTAGCTCTTATCGCAACGACCGGAGACAACACTTTTACAAAAGACTACTCTTAATTTTGTAACACGTAATCTCTTTAGAATTAAATTTAAAAAATACATGCTACCATTTAAACAATAAATGTTTCTAAATGACTTCAAATTCGAATAACATGATCGAAATTGTGTTCATTTTGAATTAGAGACCAACATTTAACGTTTAAAATAAATGAGTGACAATCGAATTGCATTTTAGATTTAGAGGGTTTGAATTTTAATTATCTTTTGAAGCGTTTTATGGTTACTTTTCCTCCATCTCAACTGCCGTCCCAAATTCGCTCGAGAGGCCCCTTCAAAATTCCTGGAATTCTAGAGCGGCACTGGTCTGCCGCTTGACTTCCCCGCTTTAGACCGAAATCGTATCCTTCCCCGGATAGAACCAGCTTAGCAGTCAAAATCGCCTGTTTTGAAGTGTGTCCCTAGAGGACCAAGGAGGATCCAAACCCCATCAAGAAGCAGTCTGGCAGTTCTTTTAACTAGACGGATCGAGTCGAGAGTATCGGAAGGTGCCATCATAGGGGCCACTGGCCTACCTTCCTCTGAGGATAGTCTTTCGAAGGAAGTTGCTGCTCAAGAAAAAATACTCCCATTGTAGCTGTCAACTGGACTTGCCAGATCCCCCCAAAGTTAAGACTGATGACGTCTCAAAAGCTCAGTTAGCGCTCTACTTTTCGAAGGATCATGTGGGAGTTGTTCTCAGTAGATAAGCCAATTTTGGAATAAGTAAGCAAGGCTTTATAAAGTGGTAAGTCAATTTTGAGGTAATAACTCTAAATCCGTGCCTACCTTGATGCTCGGATAGAGTGACTCGGATCGTTCTAGGCCTGAAAATGGTTTAAAAAGCACAGCTCACATTTTGAAGGATTGAAGGCTTATTTTTTGAAACCTTCCATAAGGGTCATAAGGTCTGCCAGCACACTCTCTGGTGGACCTGCTATGGTTCCGTCATCAGGGTACCAAAGATTGAGCCCATGCGCAGACTGAACAATGTCAACTTGCTTATTTATACTTATAGATTTGTTGAAATTTTAACCACAGATGCTTCTCGTAAAGACAAGCATATCGCATGTTGTAAAAATCAAATGTGCGCATGCGCAAACTGCACAATATCAACTCTTTTTTAAAGACAGAAGACATAGCATCGGATAACTAGTGTTTAATGACGTCGCACTACCCGCCAATCAGCTTTATTTGTAGAATTAAGGTGGAACGCACTTGCGCAACAATCAGTTTTAGGTGTATCATTGCTCATATGCAAAATGGAATGGGAGAAAAATAAAATAAAAATAAAATTAGGGGCGAAGAGGATTTAATTATCACAGGAGACTGAAACGCGGTAGTAGGAAAATGTAGGGAGAACAACATAGTACTTAGGACGGTGCGATTTAGGAAACAGAAATGAAAGGGGTGGGGGAGGGGCGGTTAATACAATTTTGCGCTAAAGCATTGCATTTTACTCGGAATAACATTATTGTTTAAATTTTATTTTTTAACTTTAAAAAAGGTCGCTACGATTCATCAAAGTGAGGCTTGCGCGTGAGGAATTATTCGGAAAACAATTAATTAAATGGCAACATTGACAAAAAGTCATAAAAGCGATTGGGTTTCAATGCAGAGGTTAACAGATGACATCGAAAAATATACAGTGTTCTATTTAAAAAATCAGTTATTTATTTACACCGTAAAAATGGAGCACCCTGTACATTCAAAAATAATTTCTATAGACGTGCAACCGGTTGAGATCTGTCTGTCTGCCTGTTCCATCGAGATCTCGGCCCCTGGGCCACCTATAACAAGAGACTTCGGGTTTTCGCAAATTGATAGCTGCTATGGTGCACTGTTGCAGAACCCTGCAGCTCTTCTTTTGTTAAGCTGAAGTGATCTAAGTGTGGACTTTTAATTTGAAAAATTTCAATTTGGTTTGGCAACTGTGCGCCCTTTGGAACGATTCACCCCGAGGCACGCGCCTTGTGGACCATAGTGCCAAATCCAGCCCTGACAGTAATGAGTTTGGTATATTCACTTAATTTATGAGTTCATTGAATAATAAATCGAATAAATTCAGATTCTTTATTCAATGATAACAAATGTTTTTTTTTAATATGAGTGTAATGCACACTTTAAATTTGATATTGCTATAAGGTATAATTTATCATTATTAAAAGGCTCTTGTAATGTATGTACCTAAATCATATGAGCCCCCTCAGAATTTATACAAGTGTGAGACGCCCCCTGCCTCTAAAATCTAAATATTTCAGATTAGGCGCCTTTAATCTTGTTTGTTGTGTCATCTACCACACGAAACGTTCACTTAGTACGGATACGATCCATAGTAAACAGGAAGCAACCAGGTGTAGATTTCGTTGTTTGTTTAGGTAGATGAGATGTAACATAGGGTGCGTGGTGATCGCATGCGTTTCAAAAAAGGAAATAACATAACCGATGGAGAAGTCAGAGATGAGCTGAAAGTAAGACTTCTACAAAAATACAGTCAGATAACATTCTATTGATTTTTCTGAAACGTTCATTGAACCAATCACAGAGTAGTGACTATTTTTAAAGGGTGAGGTTGTTGTCGGGTTTTTATAAAAGTAAGTGCGGATGTACAAGTAAAGTGTGTGCACTTGTTCTTTTTCCGAGCCAGCGCTAGCTCGCTGTGGCTACCCACGGTCTTCAAATGCAGGTGGCTACCCTATTCCGTGAATCCACCACACTTCTTGGGGCAACTATGGAGGCGGGCGGTGGCGGAGCCAGTACACCTGACTCAGCTGCCTCCGTCTTAGGACCCGGACCGTTGGCGTACGGAAATTTCCCTCATCCGGTCTCTATCGCGAATAAATACAAATTGTAAGTACTTTTTGCTGGATGGTAATGCGTCAGTAGCAAGTAAACAAGCCCGTTTAATGTTTACCCAACTATTTATCTTCACCAGCTATGATTTGCGGCATGCTTCATTAACAGATGCATTCACTCTTTTGCATCATCTTCATAGCCCCAAACGCGTTTGTGGTAGTCCACCACAGAAAAAAAACCTCCAAATGTCCAAAGAACTCATTGACAAAAGACCAAACACCTTTCTATTTATTATGATAAAATTATGCAACAATTTGTTTGAAGATCCCTGGTTTGTTTTGATTGCAAATATAGTACGTTGTACATTTTATCTTATTTAATTTGCCTCCCCCACAATAGAAATATGAAACTGGAACCGCACGATGATGGCTACGAGACAAGCGCAGATATGTTACTTTCGAACACCGGCAATCCGAATCACGAGATAAAATGCGAAAAACTCGAGGACCCGTACAGTTTCATTGACGACGACCCGATGCCCATGCTACCTACGCCCCAAGGACCGATAAATTATATGACTACACCGCAACCGACAAATCAACTCATCATCGGGCCTAAAAAGCGAGGAAGGAAAAAGAAAATTAAAACGGAAGAGTAAGTTTTGTGATCGATATTCTTATATTATTTTTTTTTGATTTTTTTCCGTTTTCCCTAAATTTACAGTTTCTTTCCATTCAGGGTTGACGCGAATATGGGAGTGAATGGTGGTTTACCTAGGCCTATTAAGGAAAGGAAAAAGCACGATAGGTTTAATGGAATGCCCGAGGAGGAGGTCTCGAAACGAACGTTACCCGACCATCTCGCCGCTAATTTAGACATCATCATTGTGAGTATACTGTTGTAGTATCCTCTGCTTTTTTTTAATGTAGTGCTTTATACTGAGCTGTTAGTCGACCAATATCAAATTAGAATTCCCAAAAATCCCACATAGCATAAACTTGACCTTGTATATGAAATAGAGATCTACAGTATGGATAACCGAGATCCATTTGGTCTCCATTAATATTATTATGGATCTCCAGTGCATATGTCAAAATGTCACCGAAAAACCTATATTCCAAACTCGTGTTTAAAAAAATCAGTTAGTTATATTAGGAATATACAATTTTAAAGTTGGCAATCATACATAACCTACAATATATATGTATATGGTATATCCAGTAATATTTATAAAAGCAGCTGAACCCGAGGAGTATATCTAATCTTATGTTTAAACAAAAATATTTCGGATACCGGACAAACACATTTTTGCCTGTATATATATTTGAGGGAGTCCACGGATATTTAATTCCTTTATTGCACTGAATAGAAAATTAATATTGTATCCAATAATAATAGTAATAAATTTAATTGCGTATAAAAAATATTGTTATTATGATCGTCTTCTAACAGCATTTGGGAAATGGCTTTGGTGTTTCTATAGTTGAGTTTTCGGTAGTTCTTATGATTAAGTTGGAAAGATTTATACAGGAGACAATGGTTTGTATCTTCAGGTTCAAATTGCATAAGTGTTCCCCATCCTGAATGTAAAGCTTCTCCTAAGTGGTTCTAAGGTAACTTCTTTCTTTGATGTCATTTCATGACTTCAATAAAAGGTACCAGTCCTCCATACATTGTTTAATTGCATCAATCACAAGTAGTATATTTTAGGGTATTTGTAGCATTCCTGTAACCAACCAAGAGAAGGTTTAAATGCAAAATAAGATAATTTCACAGCTCTCACTTCCAGCTTGACACTAATCTAGTATGCTGCGGAGTAGACTTAGAAGTTTATCTGGACTCATTGTAACAGATGATGAATCCCGTCTGCATCTGCTTTGCCTGGTTGTATTCACAAAGTGTTGCTTCCAAGTCTGTTCTTATCACTACAAATAAATTATAAAATAATGGTGTTTTCTTGTTCAGTATTGTTATTTGGTTCGTTGGTTTTTTTGAAATAGAGTGTAAATTTAGAAAGAGAAAGTAATTCCTGTGGCGTTCTATGTCTTAATTAAGTGAATACGTGCGCAATTAATTAATAAATGTCTTTTGTTTATCATTTTCTCATGTGTACAGGTGCTGCTCTTCCACTTAACCTGAGTGAGAAGATACAGCGTTCATTGGATGGGTGAAATGGATATTTTTTGAATGAACACACCTGAACTGTATATGTTAACACCTTTTCTCGCTTTAGGGAAAGGTCTTCTATGTTAATATTTTGTAATAGCATACAAGTGCTCTCCTTGTTTCTCGGAAATATGATGTGTCGATCTTTGGAACACCATAAGCACGCGTTTTGAAGTCCCCTATGCTGTCAAGACATGTCCAAACTGTCGAAACATTCGTTTGGGGGCTTCTCGCTCTGATACATTTTTAGTGTATGATTTAATGTGATGTCCTAATTTCTTTTCTCCTCGGTATATTTTGTTGGCGTTTTTCCAAGAGTGACATTTGATCTGCCAAACTATCATACATATGTATGCCCACTACTGAAAAGAATTGCTTTAGGTTTATGATAATAATGTCTATATCGGTGTTTTACAAATCAAAATCAACGTACAAAAATTAATAATCATACAGTAAAATAAAGAAAATTGTATATAGGGTGCTCCAAAATATGAGGTACAGGGTGGTTCGAATTCATGACTCACCATTGCGATCTCTGCAAAGGTGAAAGAAACCCAGTGTAGGTTGGGGGCAAAGTTGCCCTACTTTGCTACTAATTTCTTATGGACGCCATATTGAATTTTTACGGAATTAGATAAATGGCAAAAAAGAAAATACTTTTAGATACATAAATTTAGAAGAATAATTTCATGAGCAAATGTTTTACATTCATTTCTGAACAAAACATCCTCTAATATAAGTCCAATGGCGTCCATAAGAAATAATAAAGTAGGATCCTGTAGCTATCTAGTGCGTTATGGAAATTCTGATAGTAGATTCAGATTCACCGAAAAAAGTGCCCATAGAATGTTCATTATTGACCTTTTAAGCTAGTTTGAGATTTTCAGTTTTTCAGTAATATTTAGTTATTCTCAAAGATTTTTTTTGTCACAAAAAGAGTTGCCCTCATTTTTCACTTACACTGTATCTGTCACCGTTACGGAGATCCCAATGGAGAGCCACGAATTTGCAACACCCTACACATTAGCATTGCCAGACTTTTTTTGAGCTATAGAGGACAAATGTGGGATTTCATTTTTTTATCCAGGACAAATGAAAAACAATAGTACCTATACTATATGGCAAGGGACTAAAGTGTGTGTTTTAATCCTGAGGATGTTGCCGTAAACGAAGATGAGAGCAACAGGCACAAATAATATCGAACTAAAACAAAAAAAAAAAACAAAGTGGAACATGACCCCTGAAAAAACATCCTGAAGATTATCAGCGTGAATTATATTCCAAACTTGAACCAAATATCTCAAAAACTGATAAATAAAAAACTACTAATTAACTACAAAATAGAAGATGACCAGTGATCCAGAATACAGAATGGACACATTTGATAAATTGATCAAGATAAGGACGCCGCTGTGAGTTAGCGAGGATTGGCAGTAATTAGATGCCACTGTTTTCTCATCCATTTGGAGCGACTGGAGCTGATCCTCTTTCGCCCAGCGCTAGCTTATGCACAGAAGATCCATTGCTTTGATAGCACATGTCACCTTCTCTTGATTACTCCCTACTGTCAAAGGCTGACTCCTTTTTCTTTTGTTAGAAACAGATTTCCATTCCGTGAAATTGTCGAATGAACAGTTGGGAAGCTGTAGGCTTGTAGACAAGAAAATTTAAGGCGCCATCCAAGTGTTTCAGTGCTTTAATTTCGACCTAAATGTCTCTGGAATTCTGTAGAATCGAATTTTGGCACTCTCACTTTGATACAAAACACTATGGATAAGGCAACCTCACTTCTAAGGTTGGCACGAATTAAATCATATGAATTAAGTAAGTAATTTAATTGAATTATCTACTCCGAATTCAAATATCAGGTGGCATTATGGCAATCAAAAGCGAGATTGAATATATGATAATTATGCAGCGTCTGCACCGTGCACGTACATTGGGGTCGGGGAGAAAAAAAAGTGTACTTTCAAAGCAAGCAAAAAATATCATGAAGAATAAATTTTTTTCATAAATCAATATTTAAAAAGAAATCCCTCTTGTATACCCCATCGCTTTACACACTGTATATCACTTTCAATCCCCGGAATTTCTACAGTCAACTGTTTTAATTATTTTTCCCCGATTTCGAATCAAAAAACCTGGTTTGGATTGGGAACTAATTTTCAAAAAATATTATATAGCCTGGACTAAGGTACTAAGGTATTTTATTAACGTGTGGGAAATTGGTGGATGAAAAAGACATTCGATTTGGAACTATTTTGAGAAGTGCAATAAATAATCTTTTTAGGATTGAGGGATTCTAGGCAAGGAAGCAAGGACTGAAGAGACGGGACACTAGGAAAATTTCGGCGAATCCCTTCTGTTTGCAATACATTGCTCTTAAATTCTCTTGAGGTTCTTGAATAAGGACAACCCTATACAACAGCTATATTTGAATTTTCATTGTTATCATATTGTTATGTATTTGGGCACTTTTCCGTAAGTGAAGTATTATTATTATGCTATTAATCACTGTACTATACTGTATTGAATGAAATTGAATTAGTCTGCAATGGTAGGTTTGAAAATACAAAATATGAGGTTAGCTGAATAGAATACCTGGATTGGTAGATTCTAAAAATGCACCAATCACGTTGCGTATATTAATTAGCGGTTTGGGCTCGGTTTTATTTAAGCTTGGACTCTAGCTGTGTATAAAGATATACAATTTGGGCTCTTTTGCGGATTTAAAGATAGGGTTGTGAAATGCAGAATTTTCATAACTTATAGACTAGAAACCAATTTCTAAAGAAAATTCAAAGGGCTGTAACTTTGAACTAGTAGCCCTATCTTGAAAACTTTTTTCCGGGTCGATCTGAGACAATTTTTTTTGAGGGCTTCAAAAAAAGGCAGTGTATAACTTTCCTTTTTTTACCAAAAATCGACTGCACCAAAATTTCTCGAATAAACACTTTTTCTTAATAATTTTGGTGCGTAGAATCCAAAACAATGCGTACTTTTTCGATCAGACTTCTCAATCAAAAGTTATAGACTAAAAACCAATTTCGAAAGAAAATTCAAAGGGCTGTAACTTTTGAACTAGTATCCCAATCTTGGAACTGTTTGAAATTATGGATTCTACAGGCCACATTCTATAAGAAAATTTTTTTTCCGGGCCGATCTGAGACAATTTTTTTTTCGGGGCTCAAAAAAAGGCAGTGTATAACCTTCCTTTTTTACCAAAAATCGACTACACCAAAATTTCTCGGGGAAACACTTTTTCTTATTAATTTTGGTGCGTAGAATCCAAAACAATTCGTACTTTTTCGATTAGATTTTTCAATCAAAAGTTATAGACTAGAAACCAATTTCGAAAGAAAATTCAAAGGACTGTAACTTTTGAACTAGTAGCCCAATCTAGGAACTGTTTGAAATTATGGATTCTACAGGCCACATTCAATAAGAAAAATTTTTTCCGGGTCGATCTGAGACTTTTTTTTTGAGGGACTCAAAAAAAGGCAGTGTATATAACCTTCCTTTTTTACCAAAAATCGACTGCACCAAAATTTCTCCGGAAAACATTTTTTCTTATTAATTTTGGTGCGTAGAATCCAAAACAATTCGTACTTTTTCGATCAGGCTTCTCAATCAAAAGTTTTCGTTATACTTGCTAGTTGGAATCGAAAATTATCATCCTTTAGAATCTTCAGACACTGTTCATGCCTGAATCGCGTATGAAAGAAGTTAAAACGTTCCTTATAGAATTTTCTCGATATAAAATCTGGGGGTATCAGTTTTTGTTTAACTCTTTTAGTTTTTTAGTTATATGAAACATTTTTTAAATGGAACGAATTTTCCAAAAAATGCATATGTACCTACATGTATACAATTATTTTTAACAATTTCAGAACTTTTTTTTGATTTTACAATAAATTACATACTTGGTGATCCATTTTTAATATAGTCCTGGGGTATTACGTACTAAAAATTAAAATGTTGAATTTTGATCTTCTTTTTGAAATTAGTATACTGCAAAGTGCTCACATTAATTGTTTCCTTGGCTTTTTTAAATGTAAATATTTCAGTTAATTATTTAAGGGAGAAATTAGGGAAAAGTGTAAGGAACTGGATAAATATTACATTGAGGTATTGGATATAAAGCATGTTGCTTAGTAAACAGTTTGCGATAAAAAAGTAGGGGATTACCCTCGGGATTACCATTTGTAAAAAATGAGATATAGGGTTTGATTTAAAACAAGTCTGTACAACAAAAATATTTTTGAGTTATACCCGGCCGGCCCCAGCCCCTGTGGGGCAGTTCAGTTAAAGCTGGACGGTTGTGCTAAGGGTTCCTGGTTCGAATCCGGGTTAGGGCATGGATATTTGTAAATGTATAGTGGGTTGGGTTGGTAGAGCAGCCTTGGCTGAAACCCCGCCCACTCAAAAATAAAGGCAAAATAAATTACACATTAAACCAGCAGACAATCTTGTATTTTGACTTTTTTCTGTCAAGAGATATTCCCCAATATCACACCTTATAACTAATAAACCTGTTACGAACTGCAATATGTAGTTTTGATAGTTTTATTCATTTGTTTTTTGGTATCGATTAATAATAAAAATTCAATATGAACTTGTCGGCATTTTCCTATACGACCCCCGCCCCCACATCCCCTCCCTTACTTGAAAAGCCACTGCATGTTGAACTAAATATGCGTCTAATTATGTACCGTACGTTTAGAGATTCTGTATGTATTAGTATAAATAGGAATAATGGATATATTTTCAAGTCTCAAAAACGGCATGATCAACTCAATTCATTTTAAAATTAGTAGCCTTGCTTACCTTTACCATCATCATTTTAGTCCCTCCCTAGAAGGTTCACTCCTCCTGTATTCACATGATGAGCTCGTATCATTAGCTTTCGACAAATTCTGTGTCAATACAAAACCAGACCTTGCTGGTGCCATGTTCTTCCTTATCACATTCAGCCTTAACGGCTGTTGTAATGGTTTGGTGTGGGGACCATAGCCTTTCATTTCCTGGCAAGTATTCCAGCTTATGGAGATAAGCTCTTATTGTTACTTTTTATGGTCCCTTTCCAAAAATTATGGTTTATGTGGTATGTGCACGATACCTTTTGGAGACAGATGTAGAACTGGGGGGATATGGAATACGCCCAGGATGTCACTGTTCAATGGTCTCTTCCCTATAACTATCAAAAGGTCTTTGTACTGTAGGGTATTTCATATTCCTGTGCTACATTCTTCCTTATCGCATTTAACCCTGAGGACAGTTCAATATTCTGGTCCCTGCCACTATCATAAGGTCTTGGTATACTGGGGGAGTATTCCAGACCCCCCGGTACTACGATCTTCTTTATCACATTCAGTCCTAAGGCTGTTGTGGTAGTTTTGCGTAAAGGACTATATAATTTTCTTTTCCTGACAATTATTCCATACTGCAGAAGCTCCTGGTGTTACTTTTATGATCCCTTTCCAAAAATTGTGGTTTTTCTGGTATGTGCTGGAGGGTGTGGAATACCTCCCAGACTCCATGGTGCTACTTTCTTCCTTATCACATTCAGCCTACTCCATGAGCTCCTGCTGTTACTTTTTAGGGTCTCTTTTCAAACCTTATGTGGTATGTTCATTATACATTTTGGGGAAGGGTATAGGGGTATACCCCCCTACCCCTCTTCCCTATAACTATCATAAGGTCTGCGTATAGTGGGGGGTATTCCATACCCTTCAGACCCACTGCTGCTGCATTGTTCCTTAACCCATTCAACCCTGACGACTCTTGTGGTGGTTTTGTGTAAGGGACTACCGAATTCTCCTTTTCTGGCGATTATTCCATACTCCATGAGCTTCGCTTCCCTATCATTGTTATATGGTCTTTGTGTACTTACTTGGGGATATTCCCTACCCTCAGGCCCCCGATGCTACGTTCTTCCTTATCAGATTCAACCTTGAGGACTGTTGTATTGGGTTTGCATAAGGGACTATGGAATTATCGTTTTCTGACGATTATTCCATACTACATGAGCTCCTGGTGTTACTTTTTATGGTCCCTTTTCCAAAAATTATGGTTTATGTGGTATGTACTCTATACAGGGTGTCAATTTTAAAACTTGCAGTCGGCCATATTTTCCAAACTAAAGAAGATATTGAAAATCGCGAAAAACCGTTTCGGGGGTATCGAGGGGAACCAGAATGACGTTATGAGTGACAACCCCCCACCCCCCTACTCTTCAAAAATCCAAAATGGCAACCCCATACTTATGACACATAGTTGGGAAGCTACTGAAAAATGCTTTCCAGTGGTATAAATAAAGTCAATATTCAATAAGACAATTTAACAAAAATTTAATAATTAACAAAAAAAATAAAGATTAAGCCATGCCTATGTTCAAGATTTGGTCGCTAAATTCGAAGAAACGGGGCCTGTTATCAATAAAAAAAGAGAGCAACCAAGATTGCTTAATGAAGCAGCTCAGGTTGAAGTTCTTGGTCAATTTGCCATACATCCCTCAATGTCAACATTTAGTTTTTTTTGTTAATTATTAAATTTTCGTTAAATTGTCTTGAATGAATATTGACTTTATTGGCACCACTGGAAAGCATTTTTCAGTAGCTTTCCAACGATGTGTCACAAGTTGGATGGGTTAAGGGGGGGTGGGGGGTTGTCACTCATAACGTCATTCTGGTTTCCCCTCGATACACCCGAAATGGTTTGTTTGGAAAATATGGCCGACTGCAAGTTTTAAAATTGACACCCCGTATGTTTTGGGAAGAATGTAGAACCGGGGGATGGAAGCAACAGTTCAATGCTATCTTCCCACGAACTACCTTAAGGTTTGCGTATACTGGGGGCGTATTCCATACCTAGATAGGGGATTTTTATCTGGTCTTATATTTAATATGGCATTAAACTGATAAAATTGTTTAGTGAGCGAGGTTATTTTTCTTTTGCAGATTGGAATCAATCCGGGTTTATTTGCTGCTTACAAAGGGCATCATTACGCCGGTCCCGGGAATCATTTTTGGAAATGTCTGTACCTGTCCGGATTAACGAAGGAGCAAATGACGGCGGACGAGGATTACAAGCTCCTCCAGTCGGGGATCGGTTTCACCAACATGGTGCAGCGGCCAACAAAAGGCAGCGCAGATCTCACGCGTAAAGAAATAAAAGAAGGTAGTCAAATTCTCTTAGAAAAATTACGAAAGTTTAGACCGAAGATCGCCGTGTTCAATGGTAAACTGATCTACGAAGTGTTTTCGGGGAAGAAGGATTTTCATTTCGGAAGACAGCCAGATTGTATAGAGGGCACGAATACTGTGAGTAGTTAAGGGGGTGAGTTGGTGTCGTAATAACTTGGTCGTGTTTCAGCACATGTGGGTGATGCCTTCGTCGAGTGCACGGTGTGCTCAGCTGCCGAGAGCCGCAGATAAAGTGCCATTTTACGCAGGTTTAAAGAAATTTCGTGACTATTTAAACGGTTTAATTTCTTCAATCGAAGAATCAGACATGGTGTTCTCAGAACCGACACTGAAGGCGTGTTACGAGCCCGAACCTAAACCCGATCCCGACCTGATGGATCTTAGTAATGCTGTGATTAAGAAAGAAGATGGCACTATCGTACCGTGTAAAAAGAAACGAGGACGGCCTAAAAAAATTAAAGTCGAAGGTGAAGAACCTCCAAAACCTGTTATAAGAAAAGCGGCTTCCCAGCACAACTGTGATTTCCCAAAGAAAAAACGAGGCAGGCCTAAGAAAGTTAAGTTGGAGGACGTGGATCGTCCGGCTTCGACGGCCCCTCTGGATAACACTACATCGACCAATATGAATAAGTGTTACTCGAATCCGTCGCCTATACAATCACCCACGAATAGTTATTATCACTTACCTCCCGAAGTCACACCACCCAATGGTACTAACAGCTTGTACGCTCCTCAAGTCGCTCCATCCTATAGTCAGTCCCCTAGACCCGCTTCCTATAGTCAATCCCCACGACCCCCCTACAGTCAGTCCCCTAGACCTCATTCGCAATCATTTACCCATTCAGATCTTAGTTCGGAAATAAGCGCCGCTATCAGTTCGGAGCAATTGGGCTCGCCGGCATCTCCTAGCCTTGGGCCACCCGACTTTGAACCACCGTCAAATATGGCGGACGAAACGGATTGTCGTTTTAGTAGTCCCGCATCGTCAACACCAAGCGAACAACCACATTACCCCTACTCTTCGTCATACAGTATAGAACCCACGGTGGATAATCACTATCCGGCACCTCGGCAACCTCAAGACATAGCTTCCAAAAGTTTATCCGGTTTGGAATCGCTAGTAGACCAAATACCTAGCATCACCGAGGGGGAGGCGACACTGAATGAAACATCCGAACAATTTACTAGTGGACAGTACAACAACCTTAATTATAATATGCCAGCACGGACAAGTCCCGTGCCTTACAGTTATCCGACAAGCCCAGGATACCCCTTATACCCCACACCGACCTGGAGTGGACATTATGAACCTATGCCGTTGGCCTATCCACAACTTCCGTATGCACAGGGTTACGCTCCTAGTTTGCACGTACCTAGCCCCAACTACCCCTATTACAGTTACCCTCAACCTGCGCCAGCACACCCGCCTGGTTACCCGCCGTACTTGGGCGGCTTCTGATTGGTTTCCGTCACCGTGTATTCATGTTGTGTACCTGTATCATATGTTGAGCTAGTACCTAGCAAGTCTGTGCGCTTCAGTACAGTTGGTTACTTGCATTTTGACAACAACAAGACTTGCACAGGGTAAATGGTGATATTTTTTTGTCATAAGTATTTTCTCTAAACTTTGAATGTTAGATAGGCCAAGGGTTTCGTGCATTATTCTACAATGGGATCTTCGTTGAATGTGCGTGTTACCTCCGAGTGTGTGATCATTGCCACAGACCAATATAGCAGTCTTATCACCTTTAAAAAAACGGTATCTACGTGTTATTTATTATCATACGCCTATCTATGTACAGATACGTAATTACTATTATTAAATACATAGGCGGCACACAGTTTCCTAAAATTAGTACCTAAACCATAATGTGCTGTGTATATTAGTCAAAAATTTTGGTATTGAAAGTTCTATTGGAAATGTTTTAGCGTTCTTAACTCTGTATATAATTTGGTTTGTTGAAAAATATCCTTCCATCAATTTAGGGGAATTTATGTACAAATTTAGGACGAGAAGTTTTTTTGTTCAAATTCGAAAAACGCACTTTTTTCTATTACCCCTCAAAAAAGAGCTTTAAATAACACCTGCATTTCGTGCGTGTGTGTCTTGTGTGTATGTGTAGAGAAATTTGGCAATTTTTTATTTTGGTTCCGATCTGGACAGTTCGGATTACAGTAAACGTAGAAAATTATTAGCCAAAAAAAGAACTCAGGAAATTAGTCCTCTTTACGCTCCTTTTAATTTAGTTACTTTATCCCAGTGCAAAAAGTGCACGTCAACTCGTGAGAATATTTTCCTGATCGTTGTACTCATTATTTATTTCGTAACGAGAATTTACTTTTAGTTAAGTGGCGTGCGGTAGATGTCGCTACAGGTTTGTCGCGCTTCAATTTTATTTTGTGATACATAAGCAATTTAGAATTAGATTTATTTACGAGAAGAATGTGATTTAGTTTTTCGCAACTGGACATGTTAAGGCAACGCTGTATCTCTATAGATAATGAAGTGTTTTTTATTGTTCTAAGTTACTCTGTAGAAAATCAAATTAATAAAAATGTTAAAGCGAAATAGAACTGATTTGTATTTTCACTGTGGCTTGTATTATCTGTAGAGATAATCACAGATGCCTTACAGCAGAGAGTGTAAATCATTTTCCAATTTCCAACAATTTGTTTTTGAAAGGAGTGACCCATTAGTTATGAAAATTCATATTTGCTGCATGAAACGGAGGGCTTCTCATAGTCTTAAAAGTACTCATAACCCTAATAAAAAAATAACCGCAATTTGTACAAGTTTCGCATCAAATGGATTAATAATAACAAACGCACATAATAGAGTGCCCACATTTTTGGGTTTTCCGTGCTACATTTAAGTTTAGAGCCGAATCAAAAGTCTCAATAAATTTTAGTATGTTGTCCTTTCCTAACGGGCGTTTTTAGAAATTTATTTATCCGTGCTTTATCCAGTTCTATGATAATTTGCAAAATGAAACATTTTATCTTCGCTGTAATAATCAATGAAATTAGGTCAGTTTTTAAAAATTGCAATGTACTTAATTAAAAATTGCTTTACAAAAAAGTAAAAGGAATGGTTTACTGATATTACAGCAGACTTGGTGGAAGTATGGCATTCTCAAAAAAAATTATTTTGGCAATAAAATTCTCACTGCCTTTTAGGACATAGGAAAATTTGGTCCCATTTGGTTAGTTGGCTTTCTTTTGATTGAACGCTTTAAGATTAAGTGTACTGTGGAAAACCCTAGAAATCACTTCGTTATTTGTGCGCCTTTCATTTGATATAAAGCCGATACAAAATTGATGAATTGTTGAAATTTAAAACTGGAAAATGATTGCGTCGATCACTTACGAATGAAGATTTAGAAAGACGAGCTTGATAATCCTGTAGCGAGAATTTGTGTTTTGTTTGCGTTCGTTTTCGACGTTCTCGAAGGACTCCTTAAGTTTTAGTTCTAGTCATTTATGATAACTATTAATGAAATGTACAGGGTGGTCCATTTTCTATAAATGGCTATTTAGGTTAGTAAGCAAGATATCGAGTTCTGTTTAGTGGTTTTCAAATAAGCCATGTTATATTTATAAGAATATTTTTATTTTTGTTTTATATAAAAATATATATGGACGTGATATAGCGGAAATTCATTATTATTCCTAATGAAAAGGAGGGGGTGCGCGAGTTGCAATATTTCCATTAATACAACTTAAGCGATGCAGAATTACTTTTTTTTTGTAATTGTCCGAGCAGAATTTATTGTCGATCACACAGAATTGAACGGTGTTGATATTACAACCGTGCGTACGAAGGTGATGAATCTGCTTGCTTGTCTGTGTCATCGTTTTTAGTTGTAGTTAGAATAAACGTTCATTTCAATAAACATTTGTTATAGCTCTTGAAGCGGTCTTTTCTTGCCTCCCCCTCCCACATATCGCCACATTCAGGGTGAGCTAACCATTTGTTGTGTTCGGTTACAAAGTGGTTTACTCGCAAATGCTCAACTAATGGAGTATTTTTACACCATTGAAACAATGACACCTTTTTCTTTATATTTACTGCAATGTTGTATTTAAAATACTCGTGTTAGTTACACACATAGTAAGTTCTAAGAAAATACTTAATGTTTATAATCTAAACTTCAATTTTTGTACTTTAAACAGTATTAGTGTTAAATGGTAGTTGATTGATTAAATAAATCTTGTTTCAGTTCAAAATCGTTTGTTCTATTTTGTACAACCGGGTTATACAAGAGTGTACCAAATATAAAATTCGAAATTTATAGTTAATGGCAAAAAACTTAATTTAATTTTATATAAAATTTACAATAGTTAAATTACAAAATATACATTTTTTATTACAAGTATTTACAATAGATAAATTGGTGCCGAACCATGAGTTTGAAACATGGACAAGCGAAATGTCATGGAATATTGCACAAGGTGGCGATGGTGAAATCATGCAATAGTAACATCAGTCTTCAAATAGAAAATCAACCAAAAAACAAAATTCACAAAGTTACAGCATGCATCGAAAAAAATAAGTTGTAAGTTTATTGCTACTGGCCAATTCCACTGGATGTGAAATAAAAAAATCACGCATGCTGTAACAGTGCAATATTAACAAACATGAACTTTACGCTACTGAAAACTTAAAAAAGTAGTAAAAGTTTATGAAAAAATATACCTTTATTTTATTTATTTGTAACAATAAATATATGAATCTTACAACCAAGTGTAAAAATAATTCTATTCGATTTTAAGAGTGTTTTCGCCATTCTAGTTTCTTGTAATTTCCCATCATTACGACCTACCTGAGAAAAATTGGCAAAAAAATTATACCAACTTCGAAAAACTAAATAAATTTTTTTAAATCGCAGTAACAAAAGATAAATTCTATAGTCAACCAGTACACGACACTAAAAAGCTAACTAAATCACTATTCCTAATAGTACCTCCTTGAATCTATAATCAAACCGATTCGTACGTAGCACCGGGAAGTTTTACAGTAAATGTTAGTTTAAGCAATTAATCAGGAATGTAACCCATCCGCTTGATGAACATATCGAACTAAAAATAATTTAAATTTCACCCTGTACATTATTGTCGATTCGTTCTCTCCCGCAAGAAACCTACAAATGACACAAACACACTCTTAACACATATTACGTCAAAAAAAATACAAAAGAACAAGACGAAACATAAAATAGCAAATAGAAAAATACGAAGACAAAACATAGAATACTGTCTCTCGATAATAACATAAAGAAAACGATAAACTACGCCTCGGGCGGAGGCTTTTGATTCGTTTGTACCATATCCGTGGGCTTCTTGTTATCGGTCCCGCTGTACTGTACATTCGGCGAGGAGCTTCGGTCTCTACCGTCCTGGTCCTCCAAGAAACGGTCCATGAAATCGGTCAGACCGGGATGCAACGTGTACTTTTTCTTCTCCAGCCTTATTTTGTTCGCGAAAATGTCGTGACGCTCCGACTTCTTCCACAGGTAGTAGAATTGGACCAGCTCGCCCACGGACCGTGTTCGCACCTGGAAATATTTCGACCTCTTCAATTCACAATTAAAATGCAAATGATTTTATATTCAATTTAATCTGAAAGCAAATGGTTGCAAGGGTAAATATTTATTATTTCTTTGCAAAGAACAGTTGTCAACTTGTGGTGACGATATTCGAAAACAACATGGAGGAGCTATAAAAGGTATGTAAGATTTTTGAATTTTTCCTGCAGAAAAAAGAAATTTTAAAGCTGTAAAAAGTGTAGGTTTTGAAATGTCTTCCCAAACAAATTTTGATCGTGGTAATGTAATTACCTACCCATTTGTGGGTACAGGAACAACTTGGTAATTAAAGAGGTGATTCTGCTTTGAAAAAAAAACATTAAGTCTCTCAACCATCGAGGAGAGATCGAAAATCCCTACACTAAAAAGGGAAATAAAACTTTTGCTCGAATAGCAGCAGTTCGGGAAAAGTAAAGTTGTCGTGAAAAATTAGTGATTACCTTAAGTGAAGTTCGATCATTATTATATGAAGTTTCCAATCCGAAAATATCACTTAGGTCAGGGTTGCTCAACTTCATGCCCGCGGACGAATTTAAAAATGGCCCGCGCGCATATTTCTAACGGCAGACATGCGACAATTGACCCTTCCCCAGTTGGACGTTAGATTATTTGCAGGTTCAAGATTGTCTTGCCACGTTTTTTTGAAAAGCAAAGTTGTACAAAAACGCGTGTGCTATTTACGAAAAATACGACCCGCGCAACCAAGTTTTAAAATTCCCGCCAAGTTCAAAAGGGTGTGCTTTCCGCGGAAAGTAAGTACCCAATTGACTCCCCCACCGCGCTCACTCGTCTTGAGAGGCCGAGAAAAAAACACTGTTTCTTGAAGCCTTATAAATAGCGATTTTTTGTCCAAAAGTACCGCACGATCGTTATCAGTGGCCCGCCGAAAATGTCTGAATCGTCCGTTGAGCAACCCTGCCTTAGATTATACACCCATTAATGCACCATGTTTATAGAATAAGATCTTAATTTCCCGCGACCCCCGTCGACGTTACTCGTCCATTGCCCCTCTATACTCATGCTTTAGTGATCTAAAGGAGTGGGCCGAAATGTAGGCAATGGGTTGAGAGTAAGAGGGATGGTGGGGAGTGATTATCCGTCATTGTGGGCGTTCAAATTTTTACTCGGTAATTAAGAGGGCAATTGGTTTTGGAAGAGCTTGGATTCATTCGCGTGTTTGCGTTCAGCGCGATACTATAAGAGTTTTCGAAATTGACAATATTAGTCAGGAACGACCACTCCAGAACTCCGCCAGATGCCAATCATCAGACCAGTTGGCAACATACCTTACACTCGGACGCGAACTCGTCAACAACGGATGACGTACATCGGGACCAGCGAAAATTTAATCCCAGAGATAACACCACAACTAACCCAATTAACGGACGTAATCCGCCAAACGGATCCAGGAAATACCACAGGATTAACAAAAACAGTACACAGATCGAAATCGACAAGAGGACAATGCCAACCAGGCAATCAGGTCTTGATCACCTCACACTCCTTGAGTAACGCTACCAAGGGAGAAAGTAGTAAACTCAACCCCAGGAGAGACGGCCCCTACACCATATTGCAAAAGGCATCCCAAACCACCTACGAAATAGCAAACCCGAATAACCACGCACTTCCCTTGGGAAATACCACATGTCCGCCCTAAAACCATACCTGGGGAACAAGCAGCTGAACCCCATCTGACATAAGAAAAAGAGGGAGACCCGCCAAAATCCTGTCTGGGGGGAATGTAAACAGATACATAAAACCCCTTACCGCCGCAACCCAAAATACACCCAAACCACCCTCGATACAATATACCCAAGTCATGCTCAACAGCACACCCCAGCGAGTTCAGTCGCACAAACCTAGATAGCGCCATCCGCAATCCTCACATGCAGCATCTTAGTTGAACATGCTAGAAAATCCAATCACACCTCATAAACCACACAAGAGGAAACAAGACGCCATGAACTAAGAACAACCAGCAAGCAGTAGAAGCCAATGGCTAGAGCTGTTGGAAGAAGGGCTCACAGCCCAGATCGACAATTGCGGGCGTAATGATCATCAACACCAGTCCTCTGCATCAAGCAGCTTGCTATAACAGAGTTCCGGAACCGCCCAAGTCTCACGCGATTGGTCGATCGCCTGCCAGTGCGGCACTTTGAGATATATAATACCCATAACAGTACTTTTAGTGCATACAATTTCAATACAACAATTTGCCAAATTCAAAGGTTCAATTTCTTGATTTTCTCTGATAACACAAATCTTTAAAGTATATGCATATATATAACCTATTTCCTTTGTTGCAAGGAATAAAAATATTGACAAACGAATTTTTTTCTGCAAAATGAATGTGAGTGATTACTATACTCGACACAAGAAGAACTAAACAGAGAAGATTGAATCAGCTGATCCAACAACTTACCTTATTCTGTTGAATCAAGTGAAAATTTTTTCCAAAGCACCGCACGCCCGATTCGAAATTCTTACACTCCTCTTCCGACCAAAGACTCATCGTATCAGAATTGGGAATGACATTAATGCGTATCCTTCGTAAGGCCTCGTCGACGTTGTGGCCGCACTGCTGCAGCAAGTACAACACCTGCTCGTCATCACGCATTTGCGTGCCCAAAGGAATGGGAGGCTTGGCAAGAGTGGCGGCCTTTTTCAAATAGTTTTCGATCACATTTTTCTCTAACGGATTAGGATCCCATAAGAGCTTGTCTTCGTTCTCGTAGGGCAAGGCGTCGTCGTAGTTACTCAAACCTTCTGGTATCACTGCTTGGTAATCGCTACCAACCATTATCGTCTAAGATAAGATTTTTTTGTAGTGCCGGTAATAGAAGGTAAGGTGTTTATAGTCACGTTGCCAAATCAGTAACAATTGCATAAACACCTTTTATTGAAACTAAGCACTAATGCTCTGCCATTCAACTCAAAATAAAGCTTCAAAGCAACAATTCATGCACAACTGTAAATCACTAAGATCTGCTGAAGCACACCGTCTTTTCAAGTTCAAAATATTTATTTTTATTTTATTTACACATTTACTTACCGCTTGATAGTGAACTTGAACAAAGGTATGTATGGCGATAACAAGCGATAACAAGAAATGTATTGCGGAAAAGCAAGTTTCGTTAATAAGGTCCAAAATTTAGAAAAGTTTTCGTGGATAAAGTTAGTGTGTTCTTGGTGGAAGCGCGCAAAATGGATTCTAAATAAAAGTTTGATCTTTGCTGTTAAAAGTGCACAATAGAGTTTGATTAAATTCGTGTGGTAATTAGAACATTCCGAGTGGGGACAATCGAATTTAAAAACTTAATCCGACGGTCGTATCATGTAAAAAACCTGTGGTAAAAAGAACAAGTCTTCAAGTATCAGTTAAAGGGAGTTTTTCCACCGTCAAAGAGCCAAAATTACATCTGAAATCGCAACGAACCCAGTGTCGTCTAAATCTAAATCATTTGGTTTTTGTGTCTGTGCGTCACTTAATGAAAATCGCATCTACGATCGGATATTTTGGATTATTAACTCTTTAAGCTAATTAAAATGTCTTTAATTACGAGGAGGGATCAAATAGAACCGGAATTTTTGTTCCAGAACATCTACAGTTGGTAGGACTGACACTGTGCTTCTGCTATGCTTAGGGGGACCTTTAGGAGTGGCGAGAGCATGATAGATAATTCCACCACCACGAGAGTAACGCACAAAAACCAATCCAGAAAAAATGGCTGCATGACAGGAAGACTACAATATCTAGTGCATCAAGTTTTGTCCACGAAATTTGTAAATAATTAATAATATTGCCCAAATTTGGGCATCATCGCTCAGTAGTAGGAAAAAAACATTTCTGGCTACACCAATGGGCGGCCTACATCTACCAAACGAGACATCGACTTTCCCGCGCGAAGATCTCGGAGATAAGTTAATACAATGGTTCCTTAAAATACAGCAGGACAGTTCAGCAAACTTACCTTCATATGATGTGTCTCTTTAAAATAAGCAGAATCGCAAACCCAAACCAGATAATTAAGATGAATACAAATTTCAACATTAAGTTGTGTTAGCTACAAGAGCAGAAATTTACGTTTTTCTATGCGATGAGTTATCTGTGGTTTAGTATTAAAATCATAGCGGCAATTATGTTATGTATGGCGCTTTACTCTTGTAAATAGCAGGCACCTCCACACCAATTATCATAGCGATTAATTTGAAACTTTATTTAGTAAATAATATAGAAGTTATTACAAATAAAATTCTGCAATTCTTGCAGGATCCCAATGCAGTGCACGGCCAATAGCCACCCTGTATATTATGAAAAAAACAAATTTTCATATAATCAGGACCAGCTAAATTTAAACTGTAATATTACAGCGCCGCGCCACCTACCTCAATTACTGGAAAATGTATTTTTTCGTAAAAAATTTGCACCATGTCGAAATGCACTGAGAAAGTTCAAATAGGTCTCAAGAAATATGTAGTAAATGTGAGATTATGGGAGATAACCAAGGGATATTTCTATTTTGAATAATTCCTTTCCAAAAACGAACAATTACAGAATCCTTCACTCAAGGTATTCAATTCAAAACCACCCTGGCCCATATGCATTGTGATTTTTTAAAAACAAAATTGCTTGAAATGGATTCATAAATAAAGGTGGTGCAAGGAAAGTCCGCCCATGCTATAGGTATAGGCGCTTTCGTCAGCTTAATTTGTTTATTTGATTACTCAATAAAGGTATTTATTATGATTAAATCTCATTTTAGTGATACTAAACACACCGTTTAAGATCCAATTAGAAATATCAACTTGGCACGGCAATGATAATTAATTAAAGTAAACAGTTACCTTTCGAAGATGGTACAAATATTTATCTTATCCGGCAATATGTCCGGTTATCGATCTAGATATTTATGAAATCAAAAACAAATTGCAATTGACTATAAACAAATAAATCTGATTGGAATTGTGAGATACCGCAATCCAAAGTGCCCCGAAAGCTAGATATTCTGAAATTTTGAAAAGACCTTTTCGCTCTTCTGACCTTTCACTCAAGTTAGGCAAAAACGGTGCAAATTACACAATAGCATGCGTCCCAAAAATGAATACGTGCAAATATTAAAAAGTGAACGTAATAATGTTTTGTACTCAGCCTAGTTAGTAACGAAATGACAATTGATGAATAACCTTATTGACCTTTCTCCATTCATCTTCGTCGGGACTATAATCGTAATCCTCATCCTCTTCCTCACTAACACGTGAAACTGCTACAAAAAGGCAAATAAACGCTCACATTTTGTACCGCGAATTAGTATGTTATTACATCGTAACAGTCGCGAGGCGTCGGGGTCGTTATCGGGTATCGTGTCATACAAGGCTCTCAATTTGCTGGTTTGCTCCTGCGCGTCCAGTTCGCTCTCCTGCTCCTCCATGGCTTCCGAAGGCTCCTCAGTATCTTCATCGATCGGACTATCATTCTCCTGCATCTCCCTATATCGGTACAAAGCCAGCAGCTCTTCCAAAGGCATATTACTCTCCTAAAAACAGACACTTAAGACCAACGCTGGTGATAACGACCGGCATACCTTCTGTAAGCTACTAAGCTCGGCGCTGGGATCTTCGGATTCTCCAGCCGCTAGCGTTTCTTCTTCCTCTAGTGTTCTTTCGTCATCAAAATCATTTACTAGCATATCAACCGACGGGTCAAATAACTTATCCTTACTTGCAGAAGTTGCTTCCGTGCCATCACTGTTCACAGAATCAACGTCTGCCATATTCCTACTCTGCTTTCATTCCACACTATTTTGTTAAAGACCGATATATTTCTTGAAGGGAAATTAAGAAACAGACAATTACTATCTAGATCAAAAATAGTATCTACATTGTTGTATTTATGATAAACAAATAAATGAGGTTATATACGAAAATAAGCGCGCTCTTTACAAAATCACTTCTTACCTTCATAGAGACCTTATTAAATTAGCGAATGTACTTTCATAAGCAGCGAAATGAATTACAGCCGTATATTCTTCACCATTGCTACTTGTGCAATTTTTAAACCATTTTATTTTAATAAACAGAAGATTAAAAATGTGTCAAAATCGGCCATTTGCATTATTACTTCCCACAAGACACTACACTACCATAGACTTGCTGTTTGACGTTACCACAGAACATTAACAATAGACAAGTTTAACGTCACCGATGCGTCATCAGCTACTGTAGAAAGGGCACATACGTGGAAATAAAATGCCTGAAAAGCGTATGCATGTAAAGTTGCCTAATTAAGATGGTAAAAATAGATGATAGAAACCGGTCAACAGTGTGATGACATACCCTTACTTATAGGCAACACATCTTACAGCGAAATTAACGACGGACCTTTCTGCGCAGCCGTCGACATCGGGATTTCTTGAGGAGACTTGATACCGGAACCCGGGGTATAGCGAGCAGTCTTGTTGTAGTGCATGTGTCTGCATACCGGTATTAAATGTCCTTTGTGTTTGCTATTTTTCCAAATATTGAAGTAGTACTCGTTTTAATTCTTTGTTTTATATAAGCTACTTTAAGCTCAATTATAAATTTCATGTCTAAATTTTGCATTAGATTTAATACCTGTCGATTGAAAGCATGGAGTGTGTCCGCTATAAGTTATGTCATGCCTTGGTTTGGATATATGTACGTGTTATGCCGGAAAATTTTATGATGATTTTAATAATAATAATAATGTGTCTTTATTAGAATGACGAGTGGCATTTTGGTATTATTATAACCATGGAATTAACAAGTTTACCGGTTAATCTAATGAGGCGAAGTTCAGATGCTTTGGTACAAAAAAACCGCGCTTTGGTACAAAGAAACCGCGACTATTATTTTCTGTATTCACGTAGAAGGAGATTATCTAGTGTAGTGTTACCCTGTATGGTTCGATTAACCGTTTATCCCGTGAAGGAAAACCCAGGTACGGTTTTGATTTCACAACTGTGTTTTTTTTGTTTCTTTCTCATCTCATGCCCGCTGTCGAACGGTGCGTAAGCAATACGAGTTGGGGGGGGGGGGGGCTCTTACTAACTTTTGTTTCTGTTTAGTATGTGGCGGCATCGTCCGTAGGAAGGAATAGTCGAGTTACTCGAAATTATCGTCAACCTGCAATGGTAGTTATTCCAAGGGAGATAAAAGAAGTAACAGAAATGTCAAGGAAGGTTCGTGAATGGAAAAAGGACGAGTTGAATGCTGGTGAAGGGAAAAAGGCGGCGCGAGGAAGACGAAGGAGAAGGTGTCTTGGAGGACCCCCCTGCCTAAATCCGCCCCTAATTTAATAGGGATTTCAACCCCAACAAAGAAATGTCCTGTCATGTCATTTCTTTACTTTAATCTCTGTATATATAATATTACTTGTTTTAGTACAAATGGATTAAAATGAGAACCAACTAAAAAAAAAAACCAAAAAATTGGGGCCACTGCGAGTACTTACCGCAAGCACTGTTTAAAAATTAAATATTTTTAAACAGTGCCCACGCTATGAGAATGAGGCCGACCCTGTCGTTTTAGGTTAGGTTACATTTTATTTTTATTTCGCTGTGTATATTTACTATGCTTATTTACCTTCTCGCTTTATTTTCACAAAATGCATCTATGAAATTCAAAAATTAATTAAATGTGCCATAAATTACTATTATGAGTCACTTACTTTCACATGTAAACAAGAATACAATTCAACTTGCCAGTCGGGTGACTGCGAAAATTCAAGAGAAACTGGTGAAAAGTGTGTAGCACCCTTTCGGATACTTTCATTTTTAACGTTATTTCTTTTAAGTTGCGCTAGACTCAGTTTTGTATAATAAACACGATGTGGAAGATGTTGAAAACTTCGCAAAGGCCAGTGGTTTGGAGATGGACGAAGTATTGGATTTAATTGGATTTCACATATCGGTCATCCGTATATTTATGCAATCGGATGAGAAGCAATTTTGGGAAAGTTTAATATCGTTAGGGTGCAATGAAGCGTTTATCAAACAGTTTCCGCTCAAACACAAAGTTCACCACTTTAACTGCAATTTGTACAAATCCGGAAAGAACGTGCAGAGATTGTCGGGTTTTAAGTGGAGAGTTGATATCAGCTTTACTAGCGGGTTGGAACTGTACAAGTAGTTTTCAAGTAATGTCATTCCTTTTCTAGCATACTGAAAAAGCAAGTTGCACCGACCGTCATAATTAATTTAGAGCTGAATACAGGACACAAGTATATCGTTGAAATCGATTTGAAGACGTTTCATAAATTAAGATTTAATATTGCTTTGGCGGTAAAAGAAAACATGTTGCTGGAGAATTCTAGTTTATTGAGAAATAGAAGCGTTACGATGTAGTTAACCTACTGTGATTATTAATTCGACCAACCATAACTCTGTGATTTGTATTTAACTATTAATCGTAATAAATTGATATCATTACTATAACAAAATTGCTTTGATGACTCATGTACCATTTTTCTTGGGAATAGTGTGGCATTCCCAGAAAACCTCTAGCAGCATTGATGAACAGACTTTTAAAAGCTAGCTTTGAATATAATCAAAGCTATATTTCAGCCTGTCGGCAGTTGGATGGTTGCCTCTTTCTCATAGGGGTGACAAAAACCATTGTGATTAGTCATTAAGGCCGTGCAAGGCAATGGGCGCCAACTTGTACAAATTATTGAGGGGCTTGCATAATATGTCATCAAAAACCTTTTACACGTTAATTAATTCTTATACATAAAAAAACCTTTCAACAGTTCAATTGGGTAATAAATGCAATTAGCACTATCTTCTTTTATTAATAAGAAACTAAAGTCTTTAGTCTGGAAAGAGGCCTTACCTGAAATTGAACCCAGGACTCTAGTCGGAGCTATACTATATAGCTGCAACCCAACTGGGCTACCGAGAAGGTTTCAAAATAAGGTTTATGATGAGACATATAGCCATAGTAGAAATTCCCAGAGAAAATTCCTTCATGACTGTAGAGCGTATAAGTTGACTCGCGAGGAGGGGGGGGGGGATCTTCGTCAGACCCAAGCCTTTACAATTACAGAGTCAGAGTCATGACTAAGAGTCCATCGGTGTCTTGGCGACAGTTATCAGGAACCGGGGAGGGTTTGGCAACTTAGGCTAAACAAGGTTCTACTCTTCATTGAGAGGAACGAGCTATGAACCTATGGAGGCACAATCGCCCTTTGGTGTGCCTAAGTGCTGCCTGGTCGGGCTCCCCTTGTGGATAGAATATAATAGACATGTCTCTGGGATTATAGCTATCGACTACTACGGCTACGGTCCGTTTGTTTTGTAGTTGTTTCATTACCCTGTACATTCTTTTTCCTTGCAGTGTTGCAGTTTACGTAATCTCGAAGTGGCAACGTGTGATTTAACCTCACTTTTGTTTGAGGTTAGGTTATTTAAATTTTCTTTTTCAAATTATTATCAATTTTATTTTAGGTGTATTACCAGTAAAGATGTCCGAATTGTTACCGTTTTCATTACGAATTTGGGAGGCAGATTTTGGTTTGCCCACTGTCGACCCGAACAGCTTAACTGCCCTGGTATTATTGACAATTTATTTGTAAGTTTACCCGAGTGTTTCCTTTTAGACGATACTCAAAATGAGCAACGCTAACGTCAGGATAACTTACGGCAGTTGCCCTCAGTACGCCGCCATTCCTTCGCTAACGCGTAATAATAAATTGCTCGCCGAAGGTAGTGACTTTTTGGAGAGCGTTTTAAGTGTGGTAAGTTTATTCGGCCATATTTAGCTTATGTGTAATCGTGTAAATGTTTTAGTGCAACCTGGATTCCCAATTGGATGGTAGACTTCAAGGGCTCAGTATGGCGTACAAGCGGTATTTTTTAGAAACATTCGAACCATTATTTTTTTATGACTGGTAGGTGTCGGTTTGCATTGGTGTGATATGGCATTAACTTGTTATGGGGTATCCTCTCCTTTTTTACAATTGAAATTTGTGTATCCTGTATTTCAGTTGTAACCAATGCTACTTTCAGTTTAGTGTATACCTAGATACCCAGACATACAGTGTAGGATCGGGGCGAACGTTGCAGCTCTTTACTTTTTATGAGGGCTCTGTTTTATTCCCAAAATGTATGTGTATCAGTTAAACTTGAACTTTAATGAAATTTGTCAATAAGAATCTATAAAGTGACATTTGTTGTTAGTGTAAGTTTTCTTTTAATAACAAAATGAAATTGGCTGCCAGGTTCATGTTGTATCACATCAATTAAAAAGCTCAAGTTGGTGGTACTCATTTAGACAAACTGAAAAGCGGCCAAAATTTTGGAATATCTTTGCCTGTGGTTTAAAACTGAAAGCCGAGAATGAAGTACCTATATATTTTGTGATCCTTTAATGTTGGTTTTGTGCTATTTATTGAAGAGGTCTAACTATGCCAGACTGTAACTGTCTAGCAGTAAACGAATTATAATCCCCAGTTCTAGTCACCATTGTGAACATTAGAATTAGGATTTTATTATTAAATGAATGCAAGGTGTATAAAAGCCACATTCTATGGAAACCTAAGGCTAAGGCCGTAGGCACACATTTGTACATAATGGTTCTCATAATTGTTGAAGAAGTGATTTCAGCTAAAATATTTGTACCGTCAAATGGCATGTCCTACCTGCTCTATATAGAAAGCTTTCAGTTCATATGAAAAAAAATTACAATTCTTCTGTAAGAGGTAGAAAGAAAACCCTTAGTGTGCTTATTATTGATTATTAGTTTATTACATACCATACAAATTGTATTTGAGCTGGGAACACACAAACAAATTCGTCCCTGAAGTTGACAATTTGCGCAAGTGTGTGAGTGAGTGAGTGAGTTTTGTACGCGGAGGATAAGAACTCTGTTGTGTCCCAAGGGCTCACATAAAACCCCCTACATATCGTGTTTCGAAAAGTGCCCCACCCTTCGAAAAATTCGCTTTTATTTGGTCAATGGCGCGGGTATACGAATAATGCAAATTGCAATTCAAAATTGATTTATTAAAATTGAGCGAGTTTTGCACGCGGAGGATAAGGGCGCCGTGGAGGCCCCAGGGCTTACCTAAAACCCCCTAACTGTCGTTTTTCGAAAAGTGCCCCACAGTTCGAAAAATTCGCTTTTATTTGGTCAATGGCGCGGTATACGAACAATGCAAGTTGCAATTCAAAATTAATTTATTAAAATTGAGTGAGTTTTGCACGCGGAGGATAAGGGCACCGTGGAGGCCCATGGGCTCACCTAAAACCCTCTAACTATCGTTTTTCGAAAAGTGCCCCCACAGTTCGAAAAATTCGCTTTCATTTGGACAATGGCGCGGTATACGAATAATGCAAGTTGCAATTCAAAATGAATTTATGAAAATTGAGTGAGTTTTGCTCGCGGAGGAGAAGGGCGTCGTGGAGGCTCAAGGGCTTACCTAAAACCCAATAACTGTCGTTTTTTGAAAAGTGCCCCACAGTTCGAAAAATTCCCTTTTGTTTGGTCAATGGCGCGGTATACGAACAATGCAAGTTGCAATTCAAAATTAATTTATTAAAATTGAGTGAGTTTTGCACGCGGAGGATAAGGGCACCGTGGAGGCCCATGGGCTCACCTAAAACCCTCTAACTATCGTTTTTCGAAAAGTGCCCCCACAGTTCGAAAAATTCGCTTTCATTTGGACAATGGCGCGGTATACGAATAATGCAAGTTGCAATTCAAAATGAATTTATGAAAATTGAGTGAGTTTTGCTCGCGGAGGAGAAGGGCGTCGTGGAGGCTCAAGGGCTTACCTAAAACCCAATAACTGTCGTTTTTTGAAAAGTGCCCCACAGTTCGAAAAATTCCCTTTTGTTTGGTCAATGGCGCGGTATACGAACAATGCAAGTTGCAATTCAAAATTAATTTATTAAAATTGAGTGAGTTTTGCACGCGGGCGTCGTGGAGGGCCTAGGGCTCACCTAAAACCCCCTACCCATCGTTTTATATTTATACTCACTACTCAGTGACATGGAAATTGCAACACCAAGAAGGAGTATGAATTTTTTGACCAAACTTGGTAGAAATGGTATGTTTAACTACTAAAAGGTAACAATTGAAAAAGAACGAAATATAAACATATTTTTATTAATAATAATAATAGTCCCTCCTTATTGGTTACGCACTCCCTCACTCTTCGTAGCATCAATTTTAGCAGACGGTCGATTTCCTCTTGAGGTATTGTGTACCAAGAAACTGAAGCAACCTGTAATTCATTGTTTAGAGCTTGCAGGGTCTGCGGAGGATGCGGTAAGTTCATCAGTCTTTTTTTCATTGTCCAACACATGCCCGATAGGCGATATATCGGGAGATCTGGATAGCCATGGCAAGAAATTGACATTATCATGTACAAATAGGTCCATAGACCGTCTTTTAATATGGGGATGGGTATTATCCTGCTGGAAAAGTGGGTCTTCCAACTACTGAAGAAGTGGAAGAATATCGGGTTGTACCACGTCATCCACATATCCTGGGCGTTCATATTACTTCGAATGAATAACAAACGAGACCTACTTCCATAAGTTATGGTACCCGATACCATAGTCCCCACAGCTTGGTGCACATGTCTCGTAACAGAAAATTCAACATTGCGACGTTCTCAACGTCTTCGGCTGCCCCTCATACGGTCATCGTGCATACCCAAACAAAATCGGGATGCATCACTGAACACCACCCTATGCCACTCGAGGTTCCAGCGTAGTCTCAACCTACACCATTCCAAACGCTGCTGGTGGTGTTGGGCTGTTAATGGAAACACAAGATGTGGCCGATAGGATTGCAAGCCGCAAGGTCTGATTCTGTGGTAAACCGTTCGAAGTGTTACAGGGCGACCTTCGTTAGCTAACCATTGATCGGCAATTGACCTGGTACTAGAAAATTGGTCTCTTGTTGCCATAGGTCCAAGATGGCGGTCCTGCACTTCAATTGTTCTTTTTCGCCCTCCCTACCTCCGTTTCCACTCTGCGACGATCCTGACCTTCCCAAATCCATGCCTGATTGCAGCGAATCATAGTGGATTGGCTTCGGTTAAGGTGATTTGCAATTTTTCTGGCAGAAAAACCACTTTCGTCCAAACCAACAATACGACAGCTGGCGACTTCTCTTAATTCGCGGTAAATTCCACGTTGGCGTATTCTAGGCATGATCACAGCCTCAAAAGAAATGATTAAAAGCGAAAACAATAAGAACTGAACAAAATCTCGCAAAACATACACCATATAAAATTAGAAAAAAATGAAAGAACTGTCAAATAAGCCATTACCACTTGATCCATATGAATGAAATTTTAATCAATTGTTACCTTTTAGTAGTTAAACATTTCTGCCAAGTTTGGTAAAAAAATTCCTACTCCTTCTTGGTGTTGCAATTTCCATGTCACTGAGTAGGTATATATTTTATATATTCTTTAATATTAAATGAGATTTGTATGCTTTCCGATTGACAATTTGAGGTGTTTAGTATTGCTACTATTGCAGAGATGTCGCTTTAAACAAACACTTTTTGAAATCCGAAATTAGTCATAAAATTCCACTTGTGGCAGCTACAACAGTTTGACGAAGGACATGCATCCCGGGTTTCTGAACTATACTATTATATGACCTTGAAGTTTGCGGGACTTGATGTGCGTATATCTGCACACTAATTACACTAATTCTCGTATTGACACTTTGAAAAGCAGCAAAATTTCCAATCCGCAAATGTAGAGCAGTTTTCATATAAATGCATATTCTTTCTACTTCTAAGGGGAATTATTACCAAAAGGAGGTGATGCTTTTCTGTCATGTTCCGACTTTGCTGATCTATACTATGAAATTGGCTAGAAGCTTTCGCGAATTGATGTGCATACAGCTGCATGATTAAACTTATTCTCGTTTTCACACTTCAGAAAGCAGCAAATTGTCAATCCGCAAGTGTAGAAAACCCTTTTCGTACAAATGCAACAAATTCTTTCTATCACCCCTTGAAATTCTGTATTGTCGATCTCGATCATCAAAATTAATTGTAAGATCTCTTAATTATCGAGCGCTGCGTCGGTGGTATCGGTAGCATGTGTGCATGTTTTGCTGTCTGTCCGTGAGTTTCTTCCTATGCTACTCGTCTTTTTGGTTCAAGAAGTTTTTAGAGAACGTACACTTATAATGCATAAAACGAAAAGTACACTTAACAACGAATGCTGAGAAACTGATTTTGCATTGTCTATACACAGGGTGTTAATACTAAGTCAGTACACCCGAAAACGGCAGTTAGAACTCATTACAACTTTTCTTATTTCTAATTGATTTGGTGCCCCGGTTCGAAGTAATTGGCGTTCTTTTGATTTTCAAAAAATCATCATAACTCCCTTATGTTAAGAACTATTGAAAAAAAAAACTTTCAAAACTATCTTTCAGATCTGTAAAACATTTGTATTTGCAATTATTTTTTCAAGTAATAAAATAAAATTTAAAAAAAACATTTTTTGATATAAGACCCAATCGATTTTTGAAAGCAAAACATTTATAAAAATCCTACACGATCTACTACAACATTTGTCCTAAACATTTTTTCCATTTTTTTCAATTTCTTTTTCTAAAATGGCTCCCCTTCGCAGGGTAGATTGAAAAAAAATTAGGACAAATGTTGATTTTATAAATGTTTTACTTTCCAAAATCGATTGGGTGGTTATTAAAACATTTTTTTTTATCGATCGCTATTTGATTATTTGAAAAAATTAAAAAAACATTTATAACTACAAATGTTTTAAAGAACTGAAAAATAGTGTTTTTTAAGTCTTTAAAATGAGAGAGTTATGAGGATTTTTCGAAAAACAAAAGAACGCCAATAATTTCGAACCGGAGCACTAAGTCAAAAATTGGAACTAAGAAAAGTTGAGTTCTGCCATTTTCGGGTGTAACGACTTCGTATTAACACCCTGTATAACCAAAATTACACACAATAAATAGCACAAAACTAAATGCCATTCTCTCAAATCGGCACCGAACGTTTTTCTAGTTGGATTCATAAACCAAACTACGAACAACTTATCCGACCTTGGTATATGAGCGCAATCACATTTCCATTCAACTTCCTGTACATGAAATCAAAACGACGACAGGCTGTCGAACGGTACCACTGTCTAAAAAAAATGCGCACTAGAGAAAATTTTCTTACTCAGGTTCGACCTTGAATTTTTGTAAAATCAAACGTTACCTTACATTTTCTTAGTCATACGAAGCCGTATCTTGCTGTTTGGAAGATTTTAACACTCTACTGGCAGACAGACGCAGTTATATTTTGGGTGAATTACCGAGCGGCTTGGACGCCATTGTATATAGTTACATAAAAATTGCCTTAAGTCTGCCGGTACCCGACGTCCGCCTTCAGAATACTATCAAAAACTATAAATATTTATGCCAGTATGTTCGAAATCTTACGAGAAGATATTATCCTGAAGTTGAAGGTAACAGCACTTGTTGAAAGTAATAAAAGCAGTGGGTTGTAGCATTGGAGTCAATTTGTACTTCATCTTTATTTGGTCCACGAGTGTGCGGATTTTAGCCCACTAAAACGATTGAGCGAAACGAATTTTTTTTTGAACGGAATTGCTTTAATCTTTTGATAGGGTAGTGGATTTACGGACGCGAGTTAGGGGTGGGGTGGGGAGTGTCAACGAAAGAGCGCCATTCTGTATTAGAGCACGATCCCAGAGCCCCCAGAATCTCACAAATCAAATGTATGAGATTAATAAGTAGTGTAAACGACTTTGTGGTTCAATGGTAGAGCGTTGGGCTATAAATCCGGAGGTCTGGTGTTCGAGCCTGGGTTGAGGTGTATTTTTCATCTGTGGCAGAGATGGGAATTACCATAGACCAGTTTCGAGCGTTCTGCCGGCTACTGTAAGAGAGGGATAATAAATAAATAAATAAATAAATAAATCAGCAAAAGAACACGTGCGTTAGTTAAATTTCGACTGATAAAACTATTTATCGCAACGACCAGATGTAACCTTTTTTCAAGTATGCAAATTCGACCAGATGTGTTTACTTCTAACACCTTATTTAAATTGAATATTGATAAAACTAAATCGAAAAATTACGCATCTAATAAATAATTCTAAAAGGAAATGAAATACAAATTCAGATGAAATGAACTAAGTTTGTTTTTATTCGTAAATGATCCTCTAGATTTGCTTAATAATTTGAAATAATCTTATATACAGGATGTCCCGTCATTATTTTTGGTGTGTGATGTCATTATTTGTGGTGGTCAAGGCCGTTTTTTCTTCGGAGTTCATGAAATGGCGAGTTGGATGAAGGTATAGTAAAGGTCTTTCGTATGCAGAGCTGGGCAGAATGCTTTCAAAAAGTATTTGGATACTAAATAGTAAATACTTTACACAAATCAAAGCGAATACTAGATACAGATTGAAAAGTATTCAAATACTTAAAAAAATAAGTATTCAAATACTTTAGAATGTATTCGAATACTTTCAAAAGTATTCGAATAGTTTCAAAGGTATTCGAATACTTTCAAAAGTATTCTAATCTCGATTCCAATACTATCAAAGGTATTCGAATACTATAAAATGTATTCGAATACTTAGAAAAGTATTTCATTATCTTACTTTGAAAAGTATTCGAATACAGTAAAAAGTATTCAAATAGTTGTCACTCAAATACATTAAAAATTTAAAATAGTATACTAGATAAAAGTCTTAATACTACTTAAAAAATCAAGTTATACTTTGTATGGGGTTAGCTTTTTTTTATATTTCTATTGTTATATACAAATTTAAGGGGAGTAAAAGCGTATTATTATTATTATATTATTATATAGGAGGTACCTACCAGGACCTTTCTTATACCAGTTATATCCTTAACAATACGTGTACCAGTTTTCAAAGCGATCGTATGTCGTGCACATGATACGTACGCCTTTCTGAAATTAATCCTAGCGATTTTGGAACAGATCCATTTTTGACCATCCGTTTGTCCGTGTGCATGATAGTTTGTTTAGAACCGTGCGATCGCTTTGAAAATTGGTACATATGGTCTTAAGGATATAAGAAAGGCCCCTATAGTTTTTAAGTTACGTAGACTATCGCGTTCGGTATTCAGATGTATCGGATTTTTATATTTGATTTTGTGACAATGGAAACTTTCCCTAAACATTTCTAAATTGTTCTCAAATATTTGAATAACTTATTAGTACTGCCTTTTTTGAGGCCGGAAAAAAAATTGTCTGAGATCGAGATCGATCGAGAGTCCATAATTTCAAACAGTTTGAAGATTGGGCTACTAGATCAAAAGTTACAGACCTTTGAATTTTTTTTCGAAATTTGTTTTTTGTCCATAACTTTTTATTGAGAGGTCTAATCGAAAACGTACGAATTGTTTTGGATTCTACGCACCAAAATTAATAAAAAAAAGTGTTTTCCCGAGAAATTTTGGTGTAGTCGATTTTTGGTAAAAAAGGAAGGTTATACACTGCCTTTTTTTGAACCCCGAAATAAAAATTGTTTCAGATCAACACGGAAAAAAATTTTTCTTATAGAATGTGGCCTGTAGAATCCATAATTTCAAACAGTTCCAAGATTGGGCTACTAGTTCAAAAGTTACAGCCCTTTGAATTTTTTTTTCGAAATTGGTTTCTAGTCTATAACTTTTGATTGAGAAGTCTGATCGAAAAAGTACGAATTGTTTTGGATTCCACGCACCAAAATTAATAAGAAAAAGTGTTTTCCCGAGAAATTTTGGTGTAGTCGATTTTTGGTAAAAAAGGAAGGTTATACACTGCCTTTTTTTGAACCCCGAAATAAAAATTGTCTCAGATCGACCCGGAAAAAAAATTTTCTTATAGAATGTGGCCTGTAGAATCCATAATTTCAAACAGTTCCAAGATTGGACTACTAGTTCAAAAGTTACAGCCCTTTGAATTTTTTTTCGAAATTGGTTTCTAGTCTATAACTTTTGATTGAGAAGTCTGATCGAAAAAATACGAATTGTTTTGGATTCTACGCACCAAAATTAATAAGAAAAAGTGTTTTCCCGAGAAATTTTGGTGTAGTCGATTTTTGATAAAAAAGGAAGGTTATACACTGCCTTTTTTTGAGCCCCGAAAAAAAAATTGTCTCAGATCGACCCGGAAAAAAATTTTTCTTATAGAATGTGGCCTGCAGAATCCATAATTTCAAACAGTTCCAAGATTGGGCTACTAGTTCAAAAGTTACAGCCCTTTGAATTTTCTTTCGAAATTGGTTTCTGGTCCATAACTTTTGATTGAGAAGTCTGATCGAAAAAGTACGAATTGTTTTGGATTCTACGCACCAAAATTAATAAGGAAAAGTGTTTTCCCGAGAAATTTTGGAGTAGTCGATTTTTGGTAAAAGAAGGAAGGTTAAGTATTCAAATACTATGCGAAGTATTCGAATACTAAATATTTGTGAAAGTATTTCAGTTACAAATACAAATACTGCTTCCATAAAAGTATTTAATTACAAAGTATTTGAATACTTTAAAGGATTTGAATACTAAAAAGTATTTACAAAATCGAATACTGTCCAGCTCTGTTCGTATGGGTACTGAACTGTCAAAACATTATGGTGAATTTCGCGGACGTGGTTTTTATTGGATGAAACCACCAATGAGGGAAATGTTTCATTGGCTCCTTTTTTTCGTTTGCGTTTCAAGAAACCGAATTGCGAGACGTATAACAACATAAATTTAATGTTCCACGTTGATACGTATACGGATTGATCATCAATCTCAAGACGCACAGTTGAGAATTTCCCCCGAGAAGTTACGCAAGGTAATTAGCTACGACGCGAATTACAAATCTGGTAATGGTTTAGTGTTATAGTATCGCTTTGCCGTCACCGGAAACCTAATCGTTTGGCAATTTCGAAATTGTTTGAGTTTTTCGTTGATTTATTGGGGAAGGTTTACGAATCGCACAATTTTTGTGAAAGAAAAGAAAATCTTTAAAATACCGACATTCTATTCCGTACGTTAAAACTGGGTTTCACTGGGAATCATGACACTCGCATTGAAATCGAGGCTGGATTTAAATGCACTAGGTAATAAAATGCGCGTCGATATCGATTCCATCACCCATTTGTGTAGGGAATATTTACATAAGTATAGAGATCGTGAGGAGGATGCAGTTTTATTTACTTCCACATTGAAAAGTCGCGCTTATTTTATTGTGTCGCCTTCAATTTGTAATCTGTGTTTGTCGTTTCACAATGTCGACCGAGTCACTAAGTAGACAAGTAGAGGTCTCTAAATCGTTGCTTTATTGAAAAAAAAACTGACGGATCAAATACATAAACGGCAATAAAATTTATTTAGTGAAATATACCTTTTGCGCTATGTCACAGTTAAAAATAATAAAAAACATTTTGTACAATAGAAATGGCAAGAGAGAGAGTCAAGACTATGTCTTTCTATGTGCCCAGTACATGAACGGCACAAAACGGACTGTCTCAGAAAAACATACCGTTTTTAAATTATCGCATTTTAACATTGGAAATGTTAATGCTTTCGTATATATATGGGTAAAGTTACGAGTTTCGTTAGTAGAAAAGACAACGGTGTCGCATCAAGTTCCTTAATAGACTACTATCATGTTATGACGCTTATTATTCAGACGGGTGAGCAAGTGATCCGAGCGAATAAAGGTTATTTTTGTTTTACATATGGCGGTATAGGAAGCATGGGGAAGTCTGAAAAACAATTAAGCATTTGGTTATCCAACAAATTTTTTTTAACTGGATACAATGCAATTATCTCTATGTTCACTTAAAAAAAACAGGTCAATCTATTCCAATATTGAGCAAAACTAGGTAGAGTGCAGCTAAATAATGCGTTTTTATAGTTCTAGTTAGTTGATTGTTATAGGTTCCATTTACCATTTAGTATAGTAGTTACCACTTTGTCTTCTCCACTTCAGAACCGCATGCGTAACAAGTTAGGTTTAAGACCTCACATTTATTTATTCGGCGAAACAATGACATACGCGCTTTTACAATCGATTTGAAAACATCAATGTTTATTTTTCGTTTTTCTTATTTAAACGAAAAACCACCTCCACTCATAAATTAAATATCTCCCGACACCTGCCTTTCTATCTTGCACGTGGCGTTGTTAATCGAAAAACCAATTAATTTTTGCCCAAAAAGACTAAACACCTGACCAGATTACGGTTAAATTTCGATTACATCTTTCCTTGTTTATGCGTTTCAAACTTATCATACAAACTAAATGCAAGAAAATAATTAAATTAATTAAACATTACAATGACATTCATTCATTTGAAATAAAATCCCTAGATCCTATGAAATAACTTGAGTCATTTTACATACAGGATGTCCCGACTGCTATTTCCAATACTTAAACTGAAATTACGTTAACAATACCTATTTTTTTTACTATAGGGTGATTCGCTCTCATCTTCGGCATTGTTTCAATTTAGAGAATGCCGTTTACACAATAATAGTGTCGTTCATGTACTGCTATCTCAAGTATGTTGATGTATACGCTATCATGTTTAAATAATATTTAAATTATGAGCTTTCGTTTTACTCTAGGAGCTCTAATTCAATTGTTACACGTATATTCACATTGAGGCTTCACATGTATTAAATATGTGCCGTAAGTTTATTTGGGAAATATTACCGGTACAGTGATAAGTTAATTAAGGACTTTAATTCGTGATACTGCCTGGTATATTTGCAGATGGTTTAACATCTGTAAGTTTGTAACGAGGGATTTTCCGTATCCATAGCATAAGGGTTTGAAATAATGTGCCCCTGACAACATTTCTAATAAACGAAGAGAGTAAGAGAAAACTTACAATTATTTATTATTATTATTAAAATCTGAAATTAGGCTCTTTAGGTGATCGTGCGAGGATTCAATGTAATCAAATTCGAAGGCATTTTTCTGTCTGATTTTCCAATTTGAATTCTCGACGCCTTCAAGTTAGGAGCAAATGCGAAAATAGTGGAATTAGCGCCGTTGGACTTTAAATTAAAAACAATAAAATCGCGCCGCTTATAATCAATTTGGGACGGTTCGACTATTTAGATTTGACTATTTGATTTTCGCATCACAAAGTAAGGGGTAGTACGTAATTATTTGCCGTGTTAAAGAGAAGGGTTGTTTTCAAGCGATCTCATCTCTTGAGAAAAAAACGCGTAGGTATTGCCGAGAATGAAATGCTTACACCCACTGCTTTTATTTATATCACTTATAAAAACGGCTTTACTAAAACCACTTATTTTATAGTCGAGTATAAACATGTACAGCCAGAGACTGCTGTAAACGAACGCGCTTCCACTCTTACGCTATTGATTGCGGCAATTTCAGCTTCCACTCTAATGATGGCGTATGCACATATAAATGGAATAATCCACCTTAAATTTCCGAAGATTAATTTAAGTAGATAAGCCATCTGTATGTAATTTAATGATTTTTATCAATAAATAATGGATTATTTGTTTATTTTTTAGATTTATTCGTCTCTGAATAAATAAATTCCCATCAAAACTATGTTAAAAGTTGTTCTTTGAGCCACAGTCTTTATGAATAATAACGCCCCCTCATGATTTTGCGTTCATTTCAGAGAGAATCCCTCTTATTGTTTCATTAACATTAAAAATTTTTTGTAGATAATAAAACTCTATGTAGAGTCTGGAGTTATCATGTCAATAGAGACGTACGGACAGACAAATTTCAGCCTAAAGACTGCTGCATTAAGAACGACTTTAACAATAGTTCATCGATCTGTAGTCTTATGCGAGAGCTGCTGACCCCTTAATTGCGGGGGAGAGGGTAATTTCGATTCAAAGGGCGCACTTTCCACTGCAAATTGTATGGCATGCGGCGAAAGGAGCTTTGACGGTGACGGGGGTCGAAAATTTCTTTGGCGAGAGTGCTGCAGTTCATATCTACGCCACTGGTACTGTTCACTTTACAGAAAATCTACAGTTAGGAATTATATGGCGTATTATAAACCAGCTGCTGTTGTCGGTCATCACGCCTCAGTCCTTCAGCCACGAAAGTGGGTTGTATCTACTAAGTTGAAATGTATGTTATTCATTATCCCGATTTTGTAAGACTTAATTGCAGAAATTAAAAAAACAAGTATAAATTGTGCACAATTCTTGTGCAGATAAAGCGCATTTTTTAAAACCGAAAGAGTTTAGTAAATGGTACCATGAAGGATGAAATCCTCTCCAAATCCCTTCTTTTGATAAGGAGTCATATAGTAGGGCAGTAGTTGGTAGAAAACAGTTCCTTTTGTTGAGACCTTTAATTAGGATAACATGAAAGATAAAATCAATTTCTACCCCCTCCCTCCCTCCGGCCACCTACTTATCACGAAAAGGAGTCGTGCAGGAAAGTTATAGTTTGTACCAACCAATTCATTTCGGTGAGACCTTTCATTAGAATACCATGAAGGGTAGAACGTGTGTTCCTCATTTTCAAAAAACTTACTTGGAACCACTAAAGGCATGCGTATGCAAATTCTGAGACGAGTTGGTTGTCGCATGTAAAAGTTATGCAGGTTTTATATTGAAAAACCGCATCTCAGAAAAAAATTTAAAAGGGGCAAAAAATTCCAGGACTCTAGGAGTAGGACCATTCCCCTAAAAGTACCTTAAAACCGCAGAAGGTTCCGGACGGACAGAACGCACATTTAGATACTGTTGAGGTTGCAACACGTCATATCACGACATCACCATGTTGTCATAAAAGACATTCAAGATGGCGACCCCCCCTCAAAATTGGAGTAATAAAGAAATTTCTTTTTCACTCCAAAACGTGCATAAGCTCCAAACTGCAACTCAATATCTCGAGCCGTGTTCCATTACTGTATAGCAACCGTGTATATATTATAGAGTGTGGAAAAGTGGAATTAATTCATGATCATGATCTTTTTAATATAATCGATTAAGGAAATATAAATATTTGACTTACCACAAAATTTACAACCCCTTCAATCGAATACTGCAACGTAGGTAGGAGAGAATTTTCATAAAAATTACGAATTTTTAAACTGGGTGGGATTTTACTTGTACTTGGCAACTGGAGGGTTGCTTGTAGATCTTTTTAATATAATTGATTAAGGAAATCTAAATATTTCACTTACCACAAAATTTACAACCCCGCGAATTTTCATAAAAATTTCGAATTTTTAAACGGCATGGGATTTTACTAGTACTTGGCAACTGGGTTACTGTACATATTGCTGTGTATAATGCGTTCCAAGATTAGGCTACTAGTTTAAAAGTTACAGCCCTTTGAATTTTCTTTCGAAATTGGTTTCTTATCTTTTGATTTTTTGATTGAGAAGTTTGATCGAAAAAGTACGAATTGTTTTGGATTCTACGCACCAAAATTAATAAGAAAAAGTGTTTTCCCGAGAAATTTTGGTGCAGTCGATTTTTGGTCAAAAAAGGAAGGCCTTTTTTTGAGGCCCTCAAAAAAAATTGTCTCAAATCGACCCGGAAAAAATTTTTTCTTATAGAATGTGGCCTGTAGAATCCATAATTTCAAACAGTTCCAAGATTGGGCTACTAGTTCAAAAGTTACAGCCCTTTGAACTTTCTTTCGAAATTGGTTTCTAGTCTATAACTTTTGATTGAGAAGTCTGATCGAAAAAGTACGAATTGTTTTGGATTCTACGTACCAAAATTAATAAGAAAAAATGTTTTCCCGAGAAATTTTGGTGCAGTCGACTTTTGGTAAAAAAGGAAGGTTATACCTACACTGCCTTTTTTTGAGGCCCTCAAAAAAAATTGTCTCAGATCGACCCGGAAAAAAATTGTTCTTATAGAATGTGGCCTGTAGAATCCATAATTTCAAACAGTGCCTAGATTGGGCTACTAGTTCAAAAGTTACAGCCCTTTGAATTTTCTTTCGAAATTGGTTTCTAGTAGGGAATGCAATCCCGCAGCAAAATCTCAATCCCGGTATTTGCGGGATTGTTAGATGTTAATCCCGCGGGATCCCGGAATTTGCGGGCTCTCGCAAAACTTTAAATAAATTGCCAAATAAGCAATTCTGTGAGGTTAACTTCTGTATTAAAATTAATCGCTAATTATCTCAATATTTAACAAAAAGTACCTTCGGCCTAACTTAGAACTCAAAAAAACCTTATCTGTAAAGCACAAAAAGTCTTCTAAAGTGCCTCAAAAATCATAGTACATTTTTAACGAAAAAAGTTTAACAATTATTTAAAAAATAATTCGCCGTTATCAGTTTTATTAACAAAGTAAACAGAGTTGTCCCCTTGGTCGACAAATTCCTCAGTGCCGCAAATCCCGCGGGATCCCGCTCCATTTATGTGCGGGATTAATCTCGTAAAAATGCTGCGGGATCACGGTACTTCGGGATCCCGCAATCCCGGTATTGCATTCCCTAATGAGGGCTAACCACGTTTTTTGTATAGGCAAACCAGTTAGGACAGTGCCAGAGTCCACAGAGGGGTGGAGATTCGTTTAATTTCAAAAAGTTTATTAAGGAAAATTACTGGGGTGAGTATTAAGTGCACCTTATAGCAATTGTTTTATAGTGGCAAAAAGAAAATTTGTGTTGAGATTGACGTTTGGATGCTGGACAGGAATCAGTGGCGATTATGGGTATGCAACCTGTAACGGGAGCCCTTGAATGGAGTTGATTTTTTAAAAATGATCTCCTTATGGGTCTGGTATACCAACATTTGACTTTTTTGTAATTTATTTTAAATCAATAAATTCTAAATGAATAATGAGCACTTTATTCTGTCGCGGTTGAGCTCGTTTTGCTTATTGTAAGAGCGCGGAAAACTCGTATTGGGAATTAATTAAAAAAAAACTATTTTTTAGTCAACGTTCGGGGAGCCGTATTGAATTTGATATAGTGGAAAAATCGAAGAAGAAACCATATCATGGAAATAGCACGCGAACTTTCATTTGCGAATGTGGTAATAAACATTAAGGAAAGTTCAAGTAGCACACATCGTGGAAAACCCAGTGGAGATAAACAGTTGCGCCAAAGAAAATAGTGATGTAAACATCAAGGTCGCATCGAAAATATAACCAGCTAAGAAAAGAAACCCTTCCGCTAAAAGTTAGGGTGTAACCTCAACAGGCGAATTACCATTTCCACGCATACTAAATTAGATGGTGATCCAGCTTTCCAGAATTGAACTGCTCAGTGGGGTAGACTTAGACACCTTTTAAATAAGGTAAATTGTCTTTGTTGCTATTTCTATTCAGAACAGGCCGGAGTTTAACCGATTTAAATTTTGACGTAATGAGAAGTATCCTTTTAAACACTCGGTCTAATTATCGCTGTAGGTACATGTTCGTGCAATGAGAACACGACGCCTACGCCTTTAACGGAAAATAACAATTACTGCATACCTATTACCAGTCGCTCTAATTTACAAGCCAAAGAAAGTACGTATGAATCATTTTTACACATTCGCCATGGCTTAAAGTCAATAAAACAAGGGAATAAGCAAAATTTCGTTGATCTCCCCTTTGTTTCAATCAGTGTCAATGACAACCTACAAGGGAACACAAAGACGCAACTATTAAAAGATCTAAACGCCTACACTTTTACGCTCGAGATAAGTAAATCACAGAAACATTGACAAATAGCTAACATTATACGAATTCAATTCAAAGCTGAAAATCTGAAAGAGACAGATTAGTTGTGATTACACAAGTTTGAAAACAATGAAAAATACAAATTCTGTCATTGTGCCGCTGAAGTCGGAACGTATAACTGCGTATAAGGCTTACAAACAAAGACATTCACATAGTATAACAAATCCCAAATTACACTGAAGCTGAAAGTACCAATCCGGAACGGAAAAGCTGATTTACTTAATCCGTATCAATTCATTACAAGTGTAAAGGCTTGATGTTTCACTTTCGGAGTGCAAGACGTCCTTGTGCGTCTCAGGAATTTTGTATGGTCGTTCATAAACTCACTTTTATTGTACTTAGAATCTTTTTTAGGGCATGAAGGGTTTATTGATTTAGTTAAATTGCGGAAGGTGTTTTATTAATGATTTCATTTAATCCCTTCCCACTAATCGGAAGCTTCAAAATCTATATCTTCAACTTTTTAATTATTGCCAAGTTGTTTTGTGCCTTTTTTCCTAAAGTACTGTAAGCGTATTTTCCAAATAGAAATCACTATGATCCCTGTCAACTTGCAGCTTTAATTGTTGAAAATGCGAAATTGGAACGATAATTCACAATTCACTTCAGTGGTCTGTTCGTCCGTCCTCCGTAGAAAAGCGCTTCAAAAGCTTTCGAAATTACGTAACCTGTTTTTTTTTCTGACCACTGAGACTGGCGGCCTCGGCTCCTCTTCCTCCACTGCCAATCCGGGACACCCCAGCCCCGCAGCATCCTCAAGCCACCGCTGCTAGCGTGCGGCCCTACATAGAATGCATTTGTACATATTAGTTTCTAGAATATTTTTAAGAGTAAAATATATGG